ATTGAAATCGAAGCTCAACTTCACGGCATGTTCTTCCTGTCGGAATTTCCTTCGCCTGGCGACGGCAATGTTTTGAACGCCGAGTTGACTTGCTACCGCCGCAACTTGTTCCAAATTAGCGGCAATATCTGCTTTCCCCAAATACCGCTCTCCGTCATGACAGAAACAGGCGAGACCAGCCAGATCAAGAACATGGAAGTCACTATCTCGGCAATCGAATCCGTCGACGGCCACCCTGTGCGCTTGATCGTCATTCCCTGGAAGACGCCCCCACCCAACTCACCAGAGGTCAACCAAGCTCCCGATCAAGAACCTCCGTCACTTCCTTTGATTCCTTGGTCAGACGAGGAGGAAGACAATGGCGGAGATCACTACGCTATTTACCCTATCGGGTGGCGTCGACTTCAATTTAGGATGTAAGCACCTCGTCAAAATTACCACTCTCTCAAGACCTCGATATGTTCAATAAGCTAACGAGTTTCTTCCTAGTGCAACGGCCAACAATGGTAGACGGAAGGAACTCCAGCAACACTTTGTTCTACACTTGAAGCTGCACGGAACCCTGGCGAATGGCACGAAGCTCGTGCTTTCAGAGCTTACCACTGCGCCGATTGTTGTCCGAGGAAGAAGCCCGCGGAACTTCCAGGCAAGAAAGGAGATCCCGCTGTTGGGATCTAGCGCTGGTTCAAGAGGACAGACGCTAGTGGAAACTGGTCACTCAATCGTCGCGCAAGCTGTCGCGCTCAACAAGCCTTCCTATGATTCGAGACCCCGTGTCTCAAGCATGGACTTGCCCAGAACAGCGTTTACGTTCACGTCTGCGAAGCAGATGCCCCAGAGTCCTATGCAAATGCGTTCGAAGTAAGTCAAATTAGTGATATCATCTTCGCTAGGACCCTGACTCGAAAGAAGGAAACGATACGCGATGCTAACAAAGGTCAGCAGTTCTTACCCCACAAGTTGGAACCCATCTAGTCAAGTGTCGATGCCACACAACCCAGGGTCGACCTCTTACCCGACAACATCCATGGCCGGCCCCGAGCCCTATCCTAAAATGCCACTCTCTGGAGCGCCCAGCTACACGGCCGAGCCTCAAGAAATGCCTATCCAGCAGACCTCTATGCCTTCTATGCAACTGTCTATGGTAGCCCAAGATCAACAACCGTCGGCCCCAATCCGAACACAATATGCAAGTTACGCATCGGCACCTCCGCCGCATCTTTCGTTGCCGAGCACAGCGGACAGCTCCCTTAACGTGCCGCGCTATGTGGACAGCAACCCCCGCCCTTCAAAGAGCCCTCGTCATGGTAGCCATGGCTCCCTCACGAACGAGACGGCCTCGGGGGAGTACCGTTATGGCCCCCCTTCCTACCTTGGCAACAACTCGAGCGATATTAGCCCCCAATCTCAACATCATCCGTCTACATCAGGTGCAGGAGCGGGAGCAGGTGGGGCGCCGTCTGGCGCGTACGGAACACCATCTCAAGAAGGAGGTGCTTCTGCGCCGTCGTCTGCGCCTACAAGTGCGGCTCCACCGCGTGATTATTTTCCCCCATCTCAGTCCTGGACCAGCACTGCGGGCGAGGGGCAGACTTCGTCGTACTCCAACGGGGGTGATAGGTCCTACTCCTTTCCTACAGGTGTGAAGACCGAGCCGCACTCGCAGCCTCCGCACTCGGGTGCAGCCGTGCCAGGCGTGTATGGCAATAACCACTATGCTTGGAATGCCACATAAGGAGAGGAAACGAGGTTGGATCCATGACGGAAATACCAGGCTCTTGGTTGCGTTCAAGGGCATGTTCTAGCGTGCTATTTCCCTGATGATAACGAGGAGATGATGGCGTAATAAATGGTAACATTTGCTTGGAAGTCAAGCTTGAAAAGGGGTTATGTCAAAACAGTGGTGGATATTGGTGTCTTAGCCCCGTTCAAGGTGGGCTACTTGACGACACTGTGGAAGGTTTGCAGCTCGGCATTTTCAACATGTCAGTGACCTGCCTGGAAACAACGCACTGCCCGGTTGACGGGATGCGCCTGGCATCAAAAGAGGACCCGAGAAGGCATGGGGAGCAAAAAGGAGTCTGTATGTCTCCAAGACGGCGGCGGCAGTTTGATTTTTGTTGGGGGGTCAAAATACCTTTTTCTTTGCGGTTGTGTGTTCCTCAGCCAAGAACTCTATTTCTCTATATCCGTACATACACACATACACGGCCATGTACAATTTTCATGTATTTCTGTTGCGGGCGGCGATTTGGCTTCACCACTGCATGATATATACTCTGAAGGGATTTCGTTTGTCATTTGTCTTCGGTTCTTGTTGCGCATTTTCAAACGTTCGATCGATACCACTCCAAATATCACAATGAGCATTACTTCTCAGAACAATCCAGCTGTGTTTGTATGGCCAAAATAGGGCGTATATCTGCGCAATAAGTGACGGAGCCTTTCAGAGTGCTACAAACTCCCTTTCATCTGCGGTCTCGTACACCCACTGACTGACTCCCACGCAGCCTCAGGTAAACCCAGTCAGTCACACTTTGCGGAGTGATTACCGTCACTCGAGATCAATCACATCACGCTCACACAGCACTTGCTCATGCTGTGTCTCTCCAAGTTCAGGGCATTCCGCCCCCACGTGGTCCCCCCCTTCGTCACAGCTATAATTGGCTGCTATACCGTCGGGCCTTCACGATGATACCGAGTTTCTAGGTGGCCACAGATGGAGCCAAATGACAAAGTACTAATCAATGAAGATAGTATACAGGCTCGGTCAGAAGTTCGGCGACGAAAACCAGGAAAAAAATGAGACATGAACCCGGTGCGTGTGACTACTGGGGCTCGACATCCCATATCCGCTCTTTTTACACACCTTCTCCTATTCTCTATTTGCTTGTTTTCTCTTGTGACAATTAATGCGGCCTTGTATCTGAAAACGAGGAGGAGTACACAAACGAGATAGGTGCAGAAACTGAACCTGACCTAGCCACCCTCCCCTTTTTCTTCTTCTTGTCCCTCTCTACCTCGTTGGCTCTACCGTATCAAATCGAATCAAGCCGAATCGCATACTCAGAGGGTACGGACTTGAGGAGTCAAGTCAGATATGTAAGTAAGGCAGTCTATGCTATATCACATCTCACGTCTCACAGCTTTTGGGAGACGACAAGGGAGAAGCTCGCCACCACCACTCAGATAAAGGAATCAGCAGGTACCTACCTGGCTGGCCATTATATATGTAAACACGTCTATCTACCTTGACCAGGAAATTAAGAGACATACTTACTGACAGAACGGTCGTTCCTACCTACTTTTACTGATCGGGCAGGTGTTAGAGCTGCATCTAGTGGTACCTATTTGATATATCTACAATCCGTACGGTACCTACCTAACTACGCCCAAGAACCGGAAAATACGTATTTAGGCCAGGCTTTTCTTCTTGAGTGAGTACTGTGCTATGAATAACCTAACATAACATACCAAGTTCAAGTTCAACTTCAAGCTCAACTACAACGTCAACCTCTTTTCCTGCTGGTATTTCCTGCTGTGCTCCGTCAGGCGCCCACTGCATCCATCAAGACTACTTACCTTACCTACCCGTGAAAAAAGAAGAAAAAAAAAAAAGACTCGCGGTTGCCCCCAGACCCCCGGGATCACCTCCCGGATTTTATCAAGCAGGTAGGTAAATGTGTAGGGTAGGTAAAATAGGTCCTACATACCGTACATGGATAAACTGCTGTGTTACCAACCTTTCCCAAGAACCACTCAAACTACTCAGACAGAAAACGACGATACATGCATGCATGGTAGTTACCTACCTCGAAGATTGGAGTCTTAGTGGCTTCTTCGGGTTTCCATTCTTAGTATGGTCCCATGGATAGTAAATGTGTTCCACGACACTTCAATTTGTTCTCGACACTTTTTGTCGTTGACTGGAGTTCTGTAGACTGTACCGGTATGTACATGGAACCGTGTGCGTGTGTATTCCCGGCCTTTCACGACTGGAAGCCTTTTTGATGGGTTTTATGTACGTGGGCAGGAAGATCGAAAGCAGATGATGATGGATGGATAAAAGGAAATGATCCTGTTCCTCCGCCCGTCTTTTCTTTTTGAGCGGCAGGATCTCATCTAGTTACATCTTCCATCTGCTGCCCTTGATCACGATGGACACACAGTGTTTAGATGAGACCGTTAAGGTGGTGTAAAGGGTGCTGCTGGATGATCACGTAGAAATTGTGTTTGAAACTTCCTCCCCAGGAGAACACAGCTTCAGGAAACGTCATGATGAGACTATCATAGAAGAAGCAGCAGGGCACCAGTCATTCAGTGGAAGTCAGGTCGCTGCGCTTCCGACGGCACCTTCCGGTTCTGGGGTCGCGCACGGAGATATCAATCGGTCTTGTGAAAAAACGGCGACAAACTATTTTCCGACGAGGTGTGTAGGACCTGAAGTCTCGAGACAGTACAATGAGAATGACATGCACGTCGGGAGGTTATAAAAAGAGGGGGTCTCTCAATATGCAAGTATGAAGATGGGCCAAATGTCGAAGGAGGTTGCTGCCTCAAGTCAAGAGCAGCAATACCTAGCGGACAGTTGCCAAGCGGTTGGCAGCCCAGCCCGGCAATCTGGCAGCTGGCGGGCCCTTGGCAACCCGCACAACCGCCCGGTGCACGGCGACGACGAGATGCAAGATGCAATCCATGTCGCGCCTGCGTTTTGAGACGGCTCAACACCAATTCGCTCGTTCGTGATAATTGGTTCAGTGGATTGTAGTAATTGCACGGCTTCGTCTACTTACGCCCCCTCTATTTGCGACTGTAGTTGCACCACGGACCTGCCAGCTACTTCAGTTCTTAGACCGCACAGGATCTAGCCGAAAAATTTCTTTCATTCACTTGATCGTCCATCAGTGGCACAAGCCTCGGCTCACCGAAACCCAACCAAATAATCTCACTTTACACGAGGCATCACAATCGTTCGATACCGAATCCTAGAAAGAACAGAAATGTTTGAAATACCCGACGCAAAGCGGTCAGTTTTCTTTTTTCCAAACGCCTTCTCGTATCCAATATCTGCACCAGATAGATCACCTCAAACCTGTCACGGTACACACACACACAATGCACAGGACTCTTTACTGACCTGCCAAAAACAGAGTAAGAAGAGATGAGCTCTTTGCCTCAAGGGCTTCCGATCGTGGCTCCAGTCCGGACACGGCAGACGAAGCCGAGGCGGAAGCCAAGGCTCAGCTCCTCAACGCCAAACTTTCCAATCTGCTTTCATTGAAGATTGAGTTCGATGACGGCACCGCGAAGGATGATGACGAGGCCACCGGTACTGCTCAAGAGTCGACAAACGCTGTGTCTGAAGTAACCAAGAAGGAGAAGATCCAGAAGAAGAAGGAGACGAGCCAAGCAGACGACGACGAGTCATCGTCCTCAGATGATGATGATGATGATGATGAGAGTGACTCAGAGGAGGACACACCAATGCAAGGTCAGCCACCACGAGAACAGGAAGAGGAAGAAGCTGCCGAGTTCGAGTTCCGACTCTTCTCCACCTCAGCCCCCCAAAAGATCGTCCTGCCTTCCAAAGAAGAAGAGGAAGGCGCAGGCGAGACGGTCATCGCAGACCGACCTATATCCTACTACATACGCGGCGAGCTCACGCCCGAGCAGCAAGAGCAGTTCCGGGCCGCGGCCGTGACCAGCCAAGATATCCTGAACTGGGCCAAGCAGCGGGCGTGGGGGCTTGAGGTGCCTTGGAGGGTGAAGAGAATTGTCGTTACGGTGAAGGGCAAGAAAGCAGAGGGTGTGGCTGCTGCTACCCATCAACATGGCCAAGTTCAGCAACAAGAGGATGGTGGTGAACAGAAAAAGAAGAAGAAGCGATTAGGAAAGAAGGGAAGGATTGCCATGAGAATCAAGGAAAGGGCGAGGAAGGAGAAGGAGGAGGCGGAGCAGAAGCAGAAGATGACCAGGGAGGAACACCTGAAGGAGAAGAAGAAGCGGTTGAATAGGGAGAAGAAGCTCAAGAGGAGACAGAAGGAGAAGGAGAAGAAGATGGCGGGCAAGGCGGGAAGTTCGGTGGGCGATGCCATGTCTGCGGTTGGGCAGGATTCGGATTCGGAGTAGGAGGGAGCAGGAGGAAAAGAATGGTCGAGTGAGCGACTCGTGGGCCAAGTGTGAAGGGCTTGTAACTGTTGCTTGTGATGATGCTCTGGGAGTTAAAGAGGATACAGGTTCACGATAACGAGGCGGCTCGGTCACTACCCATAGGACAATGGGAAGGGATGATGACTGCCTCTTGTAAACAAACCCCTGAAGCTCGATCTTCATCCTCTTTGTCATGTTCCTTCACGAGTCGGTCAGGATGCTAGGTATAATCTCGGGTCGTGGCCCACTAAGCCGTGGAATGAAGTTTGCACTCGCCTGGAGTGAGGCACATTACAAATATGTTTCGTGAACATTTTGCGTACCTATGTTCAAGTCCCGTCCGTGTAGGTAGGTGTTGCTGGACAACGAAGGGCAAAAGGCATCACACTGTATTCTGGCCAATCACAGGCGGCAGGCGGTAACGCTACCCGACGGGGACGTCACAAGCTGCCTCGCTCTACCTTTAGCGCGGCAGGAACGCGGCAAGCTCTCCATATCAGCGCCTCTCACTGTAGCAACTGCACTGCATTGCATCCACCTGTACAGGACGAGGAAGGAACATCTCGAATTGAATTCTCCCATTTACATCATCTTGATATGTTGTCTTATTGACATTGTCGGCCAGCATCAAACCGAATAATATCTTCAACAAACATGAGGTAGCCCTATCGACGAAATTCGACAACCATTGACCCCTGAAACGCCCCCGAATTCTTTAGTTTAGCGGTCTCATCACTGGCACTTCGCGGTTGCAGCCATCTGCCCCACCATCCACCATCCTCCATGACCATCATGAACGCGCTCTGGTCCAAAGCTACATCCTCCTCTGGCGACAGCGCCCAGAAAAGCGCCAAACCGACCAACGATGCAGTGAACACCACTTCCGAGGCTCTGCCCGATCTCTCGGAGAGGCCGAATGCGCCAGCCCTACCAGCTCGCCCGGCCCTTCAGAGGAACCAGCCCTCGGCGCCTCCCCCAGCAGCACCGTCGAACCCTCCGCCGCCTGTCCCCTCCGGTTCTGGCTCCGGCAACGCCAACAATGCATCGGCACAGCCTCAAGACTCCTTGTCCTTGGCCCAGCTACGACGGATCGTTGCCGAGTTCCCCAAGTCCGAGCCTATCGCCTACGACTATGTCTACTCTGATATGGGCCCCATCGAGGAGGAGGTGGACGAGTGGTTCTTCTACGATTTCTGGCAATATGTGCGTCTGAACAACGCCAACCATGCCTTTGACAGCGCTTGGGTCAAGATGTACGGGGAAGACGAGACTTGGGAGAGTGTCGACGACGATGGCAGGGAAAAGTTCGTGCGGAACGAGGTTGAACAATTACAGGTGTCATCCGACAAGACGGCTCGCGTCGAGGCCATTGGCACGCTCCTATACATAGTGTTGGGACGTTGGACGGCAACTGTCAAGAAAGCGAATCTGCCTAACCTTGCGGACCACAAGGTCAAGTCCGCCGCCACCAAGGAACAGCTGGATGCTATGAAGGCGGGCGTCAAGCTGCTCGCCAAGTATGGTGGCCTCCCTCCTATGTGGGATGCGCTGCGGAAGGCCTTCGAGTTGTTCTGGGCGGATGACGGAGACGCCAGCCAGAGAGTGCAGGCGAATAACGAGGAGCTCATGGAGCTCATGCATCTGATGACCATTTTGTACATCTCCTTGCAGACGACGATGGACGACGTTGAGGATATGGCTGTGGCCCGCAAAGAACTACGTACGAAGTCTCTCCCAACAGGCGATGCACGCTCTGCTAAGTTGCTAACATAGGACAGTTGCCCTTAACCCAAACCTGGTTCACTTCATGTTACACGCCACGGCAAAACTCCGATGGGACGACAGGAACATTCTCCCCCAAGCCCAGGTCGGTTCAGCTACCTTTGGAATCCCGGTCGCGGCCAACCAACATCGAATGCTCATGAGTTCCCAGGTTTTCCTTTTGTTCTGGAAGTCACTTCTCCTCGTTTTCGGCGGATCCAAACACATCGCGGAGGCCAAAAAGGCTACGGCAGAGACACTATCCGACGTCAAGGACAAGGAAATCATCACTGCTTCTCCCCTTGACTACCATGTGTTCCGGCAAGAGATCACCTCCAAGTACCCATCGTATATCCCACCCCAGTGTGCCATTCCTCTGGAAGCAGAGCAGACGTCCATCCTTCCTCCGCTACCTAACCACCCAACCAGGAACAATGGACAAAACGGTATCCTTCCCGGCCCACCCAACCAGAGCGCCTCCGCCTCGATTCTCCATCAACCGGTTCATATCGCGACTCCTGCGCCTTCGCCTCCTCCGAGTCCGGGTGTCGGCGGTAAAGGCGGTAAGAAGCAAAACTACCAGACCAACCAGAACTTTCCGTTTATGTACCCGCCCTTGGATGCCACGAGCAACAGCGCTGGCGGAAAGGGAGGTGCCGGACTACAGGACCTTCTGGTAGGCAGGAAGTGGGAGGGAAGCGATGTTCCCGCTTCCATCATCGAAGCTGGCGAGCTGTTCTCCACGCGAACCAGGATGACACGGGCTACCAGGCAGCTCTGGGAAGAGCGCGAGAGATTCCTGAAGTTTGAACGCGGGTGGGAAGGCGCCGATGAGGATCTCATCGATGAACTTGATCTTTCTGAGCTAACACTTGAGGAGAAGGAGGAACTGGGCTTACTGAAGGAGAGCGAGAAGAAGAAAGAGAAACATGGCCATGAGATTGACTTGGGACCCCGGCCTGTGGATGATGATATCAAACGTCGTCTTGAGGCCGTCGAGGAGTTTTATGTAAGTCTTCAGCAGTGATGGGTTTTTGTCTCACGCCACATACTGACCCTGCTACTCGCCTACAGAAAGAGGCTCTCCCTCATTTGCAGTCACTAGTTATTGTGCTATTGAAGGCGATTGTTGCAATTGCCAGCAGTTTCGTTCAGCCGCCACCCGGACAGCAAAATCCTGGCCCGCAGAACAATGGACGAGCTGGCGGGGGACCACCCCAAGGCCGCGGTCAAAATAACGGCAACAACGCTAGCAACGACCCCCCCTCCCCCTCGGATGATAATGTCGATGAGGCTAGGAGTAGGGAAATTGCCGCGAAGGCGGTGACGGGTATCATGATCCTGTTGTTGAAGTGGCTAAAGCTGTCACGTAAGTTGATGATCCGATGGGGACAGTTATGAACGCTTGACTAATGACTGGATGTCCCAGATATTCTCAAATTTGAGTACTTCACACAGCTACTTTTGGACTCTAATTACCTTCCTCTAGTACTGAAGCTGTTTGCTCTGCATGATGTGCAGCAGGTGGTCGAGAGCAAGACAGACAGGATAGAGCACAGGTGAGATTGCTTCGTCTGCGTCCCTGACCTGCCATCAGAATATCGGTAACTAACACATAACAACCAGTTTCTTTTACTTCTGTGCTTCACGTTCCGGCGTAATTCCCCCACAGGGTCTTATCAACCCAACCGCCACCGACTTCGAAGACGTTGATGTCAGTGAAGACGAAGCGGCCCCGCCCGCCATCAAGAGAAACCGATCACCCCCTGGCGCAGAAAAGGGAGGACCACCCGACGCTTCTTCCCAACCAACCCAGCAGCAACAGCAGCAGCAGCGGTTTGAGAACTCCGACGTCCAGAGTCGCCCCGAGGTCGACGAGCTCGGCTACCCCGTCAACCCTCTGCCCAAGGAACCCATCACCGACTTCTCGCGCCGCAACTTCTTCTCCCTGATCAACTACCTGCGCGTAATGCAAAAGATCTGCAAGCACAAAGCGCACCGCAACCTTCTGCTCGTGCACTACAAGTCCTCCAACATCCTGCGCAAGTCCCTGAAAGTGCCGCAGCAGGAACTCCGCCTCTACACGCTCAAGCTCTTCAAGAACCAGGTCCCCTACTGCGGCCGCAAGTGGCGCCAGTCTAACATGCGCGTCATCACCGCCATCTACCTGCACTGCCGCCCCGAGCTGCGCGACGAGTGGCTGTCGGGCTCGGACGTCGACGCCGAGGTCGAGGAGGCGCTTCCCCTCGAGCAGGCGCTGAGGTCCCTGACGCACTGGTTCAATGTGCAGCGGTATCCTGAGAGGATGGGCGCAGAGGTGACGGCGGCGATGAGGGAGGAGAGAGATTTCTTTACCAGAGAGCTGGAGAAGAGCGATTGGATGGGCTGGGAGGGGATCATGGCTGGAGGAGGCATGGGGATGGATGGTGGTGGTGGTGGTCCTGAGCCGATGATGGGCATGCAGGGTATGCAGGGCATGCCGGGTATGCCAGGTATGGGTATGGGTATGAATATGGGGATGCCGGGAATGGGAATCGGCGGAATGCCCGGCATGGGTGGCATGGCGGGGATCGAGTACGCGGCTGCTGCGGCGGCGGCGCAGACGGAGCATGAGAACTCGATGGGGTGGAGTTAGGAGTCTGTACTTGAGTATGACATGTCTGTTCTTGCTAATATTATCATTGAATTGAAGGAATCGGGCAAGTGGAAAGGACCTGAGGATGCTGATGCTATCATGCGTCCAGCTTCGGCACGCATTGGGACGTTGAGGGCCTTGCTAGCGATGAGCCACATAGAGGAAAAGAGACGGATTTGGGTGAAGGGACGAGGATGGCGAATCTTCAGTTTTGACATTCAATGATGTTAGACGAATTAGATGCAAGTTTTAGGGTGTCGTCCATCCTGCAGCGTTTGTTTCTCCTTGGGCATTTATAGGTTTCTTAGCGCAAATGAGCATTGCTTCAAAAAAAAAAAATATGGACATAAAATCGACGAAGTAGTTTTGAGTCTCATCAATTAATATTAAGCGGTTTATGTGATAGTACTATCTGAATCCGGAGAGATATGTACAGTGACCCTTTCGTTTGAAGCTAAACGGTTTGTACAAACTCTCCAGGACTTGCGTCTATGGGGGGTATCTTGGTTCCTGGTTGGTTACCTCTGTATATGTGAATCCTCTTTATCTCGACCCTTCTTGTTTCCTCCTCCAGATCGGTGACGTGATTTCTGATGGATGATCTTCGATTATATCCGCAGCATCGGAGCGGTTGTGGAGCTTTGTTGTTGTCCGTGGGGTAGATTGGGCTCTCCTGACCCTCTGTCCTGTTGTTGCATCCGATAGATCCGACCCGAGCGGCTTCCTTCCTTCCTTCCAGTGAAAGTCGTGAGACCTGTTCCTGTATCTGCATCCCCTCTCTTTCCACTCTGGCTCGCTACCAGTAGGCACTGTTGAATTTGTTGAATCCATCCATCCGTCCCATCGGGTATCTTTCTTAATATCCAGCAAACCATCAAACCCTTCTTTTCGGTTCAAGAAAAATGCTGCTTCCCTTATCTCCGATCATAAACATGATCCCCACTCTGCGGATACTGTCCCATAGCAATATCCTGCTGCTGCTGACCAAAGCTCATATCATACTTGTTATAGCTGTTTCCACCATGCGGCGGGCTGTAGGCGGTGGGTTGATGCTGCTGGCCAACGGGCGTTTCGTTGTACGGGTTGTAGCTACCGTAAGCACCCGTGTTGTTATCGGGGGCGACACCGCCCACACGGGTCTGCTCCGTCGCGTAACTATCACGAACGTCCGAGGGGCTGCTGTGCTCGGGCAGCTTGTTGCTCATCAAGTCGGCGTCGGGGTGGGCGCCGCCCTTGCCGCGAAGGCTGGCGAAGAAACCCGGCTTGCGGCCGGAACCAGAGGTGTAGTCGTTGGCGGGCGAAGGGCCGTAGCGCTGCTCCTTCTTGCGGTGGCGGACGAGGACGACTTCCATGAAGGGGGAGAGGATGAAGAAGACGCTAGAGAGGTGTTAGCAATTTTATTTTATTCTATTTTTTGATTTTGTTGGAAAGGATTCCAAAAGTTGCCCGTCTTGCAATATGTATGCGAGGCAACAACACAAAGACAGCAGGGGATAAAATGAACAACTTACCATCCAATAATGGAAACAGCCAAGCAAGCCGTCTCCATCTTGCAGGCATGGTGCAAGCTAGGAAGGACGGTGAAGCCGCCATGGCCGTTATCGACAACGTTGGTGTTGGCGTCACCCTTGCCGTAAACAGTGTCGACGATGCCCTCGCAGGTGTTGGCGCCGTTCTTGTTGCGGATGGCGACGTAAATGAGAGCGCCGCAGCAGCAAACGTCAACCACCATCATGATGAAGGAGAAGAACGGCTGGCCAGGGATGCAGCATAGTAGCAGGATGGTGGCCAGGGTATAGGCCGTGATACCGCCCGAGATACCCTCAACGGCACGGAGGTGGACGTCAATGTCGAGGCCGTGGTTGGCCTTGGTGGCCAGGAAGTAGGAGGTCAGGGCCAGCACCGTGGCGGCACAGCCGAACTGGATGCCGCGGATGGTGCCCTGCAGGCCCCGGAAGAAGAGGCCCGTCTTTGCGCCCATGATATCGGGATGGATTATGAATATGTGTGTTTCGGTTGACTGCTCGCTTCCGCTAGGGTTCACTCTCAAGGTCGAGGGGAGGGGGTAGGCGGGAGCCGGTCGTATTCGGGGATGAAGATGGTTATATGATATGTTTGAGAATGGTGTAAAAGTCGAAGATGCTGTTAAAGTAAGGTTTGGGAATGCTTCCCTCGTCCTGTTTATTTCTCTGGGGTATCGCAATCTGCGGTGTGGGTTTGTCGTGGAACTGGTGGGTCGGTTCCTTGGGCGGTTGAAGAGAAGGCAGCTGGGCAGAAAGGATCAGGGGTTCTCGTAAGTGAAGCCAAGGAGGCTGGAGGGGGCCACCGACCTGAGTTCGGATGGATCTTAGAAGTGGATGTTCGCAAGTGGCACACTTTTCCGCAGCGGTTACTGTGTCAAGTGTGTGTGACCGGTGAAAGGGGGAATGATCGATTGGGAACTCCCCATGAAAATGGCCGGATTAGAATTGGTGAATGTGACCGGACAAAGAGTTTATAATTCAAAGCTTCAAAAGCTGCACCAACGAGAGCTGATCTTTCTGCAATGAGAGGTTCAGGAAGTTGCCCGAAATCTAATGATAGATTAGATAAAGGTGCGTAACGTTGAGAACCCTGGAAGTTGTGGTTCTGCCGTGTTAGTCGTTCGAGCAGGCAACAACACTTTTCGAGTTGCAACGCGAATTCCGAGGAAGGTATTGACACATGATAACCTCACCTCTGCAAGAACAGCTATCCGGTGGGTCAATTGAGTGCTTTTCTCGCCATTCAAGCCACTCAGCCATCTAAGCCACCAGTGTGAAGCTGTTGAAGAGCCCTTCTGCGCCCCTGAAAAATATCTTGAGCTCGCTAATTTGACGGTGGACGGCCGATCACACAAGGTGGTTCCGCCCCGGATGCGCCGCTGAATGACGAGCCGTTGTCTGCCGGCCGCAGATCTGCTCCAAGGGGTCCATTGAGTGGAGTCCTGCATGACATCAGATGAGGACTGCAGAGAGCTGATGTCCAATAAGATAGCCCAGCCATCCAACCGACCCGCTTCTTTGAACGCCGCCACTGTGGCAGGATGGCTGTGCCACACTCGTCCACGCGGCGTCTTTTCTTCGGCCCAGCTGTGATTCTTCAACCCATCAACAATCACATGGCATCCGAAACCTTCCAAACGCGGGGGAGGAAAAGGCGGAACGTGTGAAACAAAACAAAGGCTTTGTTACGCTTTTATATCCCGTCCGCCTGTACCTAAGCATACCGACAATTTGCGGTGACCACAAGGAGAACTGTCACACCGTCAGTCTGGCCCAGTCAGTCTTGAATACCGCCCATACCCTTGTCGGAATAGCTCCATCGGCAGTGTCGGGATGGTGTCGAATGTTCTCCTGCCAAGAAACCAGGAACCATGCAGTTCCGATTAAGCTTATCTGCTTTCTCAAGACTCGGCCTCCCCTCGACGCTCACTCGGTCTGTTCGCCTTAGCAATTCGCGATCCAGGCATTAAATGAGTTCCTGGAGTGGTCGTACAGCTTCCGCTTGACGAAAACAAAATGGCTTGCCGAGTTATCACGGTATATTGCGAGCGCTTGGGGTGTGCATCCTACTCAACCCATATGATGATCACCCCGTCGCGAGGATGAACAAGACAGCTTGCCTTGATTGAGGACTCAACACGAGACAAACAAACAGCTCCTCCAGAGCACCCGGTCTGCAACTTCCGTTGAAGGGAATATGGACGACCACAAGGACGCGATCCTGCAATATCCCGGATAGTCCTAAGCTTGGCCTGTCTGGGCGGACGCGATGTCTCGCAAACGTCGAAGTGTCGATCTAGCAGTAACGGCGGCAGGTGTACTGTTTATGGGCATTAGAATTAGCTAATTGCTGAACAGATTACGTTTCCGTGCAATCCGACATGTGGACAGTGGATAACTTAGGCGAGCATGTAAGCGCCGCCGCTCAGAACTTTACTACAACCTTGGCCGTGGCACTTCCAGATCCCAAAGAAGCCCGTTTGACGGTGTGTGTCTGCCGCAGAAAGCGCTGTGTCTGAAGGGTTGAAAGTTAGCAATCTCTTCCACCGTGTGAGAAAGACCTCCGCTTGGCCAGAGAGAGGGCAATCTCGACGTCGAAACAGAACGGAGACTGGGGCACAAACCAAGTATAGCGAGCGTGTTGACCGATCTCAACTCGCTTGCACTGCTTTCTCAGAGAGGAGCCATAGCTGGAGCAACAACGTTAGCCAGCTCCTTTGTGTCCGGAGAAGGGAGCAATGAAGAAAGTTGTTCAAAGAGGAAGCCAATGAATGGCTTTAGCGGGTGCCATATCTGCCGGAAACTCCGACCTCTGTTGGGAATCAGTTAAGCGATTCTCCAAGCATGGTAATATCATTGATGGTGGTACATACTGACGGTGTGCTTTGCCATCTTGGGGATTCTGCTTTCGAACCACAACTTGCCTGCGAGTTTCTTAAAGTTCGTCAAGCAACAAACGGCGAGAACTGGTTGCCTTCAACGTTGGCGAGCGAGGGGCAACGACTTTCGATCTGGGAGTGTAGAAGGGATATATGAATCGAACGAAATGAGGGGACATGGCTCTGGAAACAACTCGGAGACTCGGAAGGCGCGACCTTTACTTGGTCCGGTAAAAGAGCAGACTGGCCAGTTCAGTTGGAAGTTGTTTGCGTAGTTCTCTTTTGGAAAGAACACTGCACATATGCGGTACTGTTGGTCACTCGATTTTGGAGATCGAAATTCAATTCAGGCCATAGTCATGTCGGAGACTTGGACATTACCAAATGGGCAAACTATGGTGTCGAGTGCTGTGGAAAGCTTCTTGTATATGATGGCAGTCAATAATCCCACTCCTGCAATTGTTCTACTTTGTCCAAGATAAACTGAGTTTATTAACGACAGACTCTGGCTTTGTTTTGCGTGCGAAATCCGTTGTCATATTCGTATCTGACAGAAGATGGGTGATGAATCCGGCTGGCCAGTCGCCCGATCGGTAATGTCTTGTTTGAGCGATGCTAGTTCCCGTCCTGAGCCGTTCCGGCCCATTACATGTCCCCGCATTCAATGCTCCGCATTTCGTTGTTGGGATCCTCCGGGAGGAATATCACCGACGGGACCTTGGCAAACAACCTGTGACATCAAAGTAAGCAGAAGTGTATTGGTATCCCTTGAATCATATCGCTATTTACCGCTTAGCGCAACCGGCAAGATGTTGAGAGCACTTACCGTTCTCTCTCTGCTCTTTTCCAAACCTCCGCAACCATCAGGTCTCAACATCACCGTCCTTCAACCCGACGTGCCCTTTGTTCCTCACCCTCGCCTGTTATCCGGCGCTGCTTCCGACTCAAAAGAGATTATTCGACAATTTGTGCAGCTTGATCGTTCCACCAAATGGAAGCTTGTCGACAAGGTCAAGTTCGAAGGCGACACCTACGAGCCCGAAGGATTAGTTCGCATAGGTGATGATCGCTACTTCGTCTCGGCTGGTGAATACATCGTTCCAACGGTCAAATACAATGAGACCATCAACGGCACGGACCGAACAGCTGGCGAAGGGTTCGCTCATATGATCATCTTTGATAGCAAAGGGAAACGTATTGCCGATGCCTCTATCTACAGGCCAAGTCTCTCGAGGTCTGTCCGTCCGTTCTGCAACATGTTCTTCCAAGAGTAACCGCGGCTGACAGAACAAGTAGTATCACAACGGTGGCATCGACTATGATGGAACCTACATCTGGGCTACCCTCTCCCAATACCGCCCAAACACAACAGGAACGCTCGTGAGGATGCGCCCTGACACACTGGTGCCAGAGCCCATCCTGAGTGTCGCAGACCACCAGGGAGGAGCAGTCCACGACACAAAGTCCGGAACTGTTGTCACTCTGAACTGGGGGTCGCGGAAAGCGTCGATCTGGAACGGGCACGACAAGCCTCCAGCGCCACCCGAGCTTACTCGGCCCAAGGCAGAGGTCAAAAACCCGAGCAGTTTCGTCGACTACCAGGATTGCAAGTTCCTGGGCCGTTATGAGCTCTACGGGACCCGGCCTGTGATGTTATGCTCTGGCGTCGCAGACCTGGCGAACACGCGAATCGGCGGCCTCGCGATAGTGGACATGGAGACCATGGTTCCTCTACACGAGGTTCCCGTGACCTTGGTGTCGGAACTTGGTGCGGCAATGACCAAGAATCCGATGGACGTAGCTATTGTGGATGGTAAAATGAGGCTGTACTTCCTGCCCGACGAGAGGAATTCGACACTCTATGTGTACGAGGCGGTTTGAGTTTTTGGCACATTCTGTTGCCGCTGTGCTGCCGCACCGCTACCGGGTGTTGGAACATTTTGAAAGAAGCGATGTTTTGTTCGTTATTACCCCAGCAAAATAGCAAAAGAAACTACTCATTCGAATGCCCTTTGTAAGAGTGTTTCTATAAAAGATCAAGTGCAACCGTTGTTGGCTGTTGGTTTCCATGGATCGCGTGAATCTGTTCCCCTGCGGCCCTGCCAACACAGGGCACGACGTAGGATGATTGATCGATCTAGACTCGCAAATTCACTGGGTGTCGGTGTGTCTCATACGAGTACCATTTTTGAAGAATGGGATTGAGAACGGCTGGGTATGATTATGTGACAAACTGAGCTGGAATAATATCGCATACTGGCCATAGCCAGCCCATCGATGGTGTTGGGTGATGATGTCCACGATCATTGATCTGCCCCTGCTGCTGACAGTTTCGCTGAGGTCAAGTGAGGGTAACTGATGGAGCTTGCTAGCTGGCTTGGCGGCCCGCATCATTTGGCGGGGACCTAGCGTGTGCTCATACTTGTTAGCGTAGCCCTTTCCCTGCAGGAGCAATCGCCTGGGTAGGAGGAAATCACTAACAGGCGCTACTTCCGAGATGTACCCACTACGCGAGCGCTGCGTCACTATCTCCAGGTCTTGGAAGCCGATAGGCTCACGGTCGAAGGTTCTACAACCTCCTGCTCCTGATACACACGCCCTTCGCCAAGGCATTTTACGGCTTTGTCCCTCCCTCTTCCACGAAGTGATAACTTCACTCCTCAATTCTCTATTGCTTCTCGAATCTGCTCAATATCTGAAACCTACACTCTCGCGTTGCGAATCTGCCCTTGCGCATTCTAGCCAAGAACGACCTTGACGGGCGCTTTCACGAGCCATCCGACAGACCCACGAGCGCTATCGAATCGCTGACGTCTAACACGCATTCCCGTCTGTCATCGCTACCTTGCCTTAACTACCTTACCCGCACCACAACAACAACAACCCGACACGTCGAGTTGATCTTGCATTCTCCTTTGCACCTCACGACGAGGAGATCTTCGCTGCTCTAACCAACATCTTGCAATAAACCTTTTTATTTTTACTAAACACATACACCATACTAGTCTCTGATATCGCGTCACAACGATGGTCAGAGAAACGAAGCTTTACGACCAGCTAGGGATCAGCCCCACGGCTACCCAGGACGAGATCAAGAAAGCCTACAGGTAAGCATAGCCCTCGCCCACGCCAAATGCCCATATCATCGCTCTCCCAGTATACCATCGAGGAGGTCTCCTCTCTTTTCAATGTTATCAAGTTTTCACTTCGGCAGTTCACGTCATCCCCTCTTACAAGCGCAACTTCCAAATTGGACCCCTGCTGACCCCTCACCAGGAAAGCCGCCCTAAAATGGCACCCCGACAAGAACAAGGACAACCCGGAGGCTTCCGAAAAATTCAAGGAGTGCTCCCAGGCGTACGAAATCCTATCGGATCCCGAGAAACGCAAGACTTACGATCAGTTTGGCCTTGAGTTCATCCTGAGAGGTGGCCCGCCCCCGACCGAGGGAGGCGCAAACCCATTTGCCGGTGCCGGAGGAGCCGGTGGAATGCCCGAGGGCTTTGCTTCCTTCTTCGGAGGAGGAGGCATGCCTGGCGGCGGAGGAGGTGCGAGAACATTTTCCTATGGATTCAACTTTAGCAACCCCGAGGATCTCTTCCGGGACGCATTCCGTGATGAAAAGATGGGCGGCGGTGGTGGCATGGGTGGCATGGGCGGAATGGGTTTTGAGGACATCCTCTTTAATGCTGCGCGTGGTGGTGCAGGCTCGCGGCGGACTACGAGAACCTCCTTCCCGGCGACAACATGCGCAGTGCCCGCCAAGCAACACCCGAAGTCACGACAGTTGAACGCCCCTTGCCCGTATCCCTTGAGGATCTGTTCAAGGGCACGACGAAGAAGATGAAGATCAAGCGCAAGACCTTTGACGAAACCGGCAAGCGCACGACGAGCGATACGGTCTTGGAGGTACCCATCAAGCCCGGTCTCAAGAAGGGCAGTAAGATTCGGTTCAAGGGTGTTGGCGACCAAGAAGAGGGTGGCCAGCAAGACTTGGTCTTTATCGTTGAAGAGGTACGTATCCTTTGCCTAGCCTTCTCTCAGACAATGTAGTTTTCAGCAACGGTTAGCTGACTATGCATTAGAAACCGCATCCACTCTACACTCGTGACGGCAACGACCTCCATCACACTATCGACTTGGACCTCAAGGAGGCATTGACAGGGTGGAAGAGAACCGTCACCACAATCGACGGCAAGAACCTTAACATTGAGAAGGCCGGCCCGACACAACCTGGGAGCACAGATGTATACCCCGGCCAGGGCATGCCCATCTCCAAGCAACCAGGCCAACGGGGCAACTTCATTGTCAAGTACAATGTCAAGTTCCCCACCACCCTGACGGCTGATCAAAAGCAAAAGCTGAGGGAGATCCTCTAAATGGTGTTTCAGCGACGTCTATTGGTTTTCCTGCGGTAGTTGAGTCTCGGATACTTTGTCCTTCTTGTCGCCTCAGCAAGAAGGGCCCAGCGGCCCTCGGGATTGGCCTGAAGAACAGCTTCGACGCCGGCCTTGAGAACATTCGGGAACTCGTTCAGACCCATCCCCTCGAAAGCATGTAAAAGAGTGGACGACAGGGATTTATCTTCTACCTGGAGGCGTTTGTTTTTGTCTCTGTCCGCCCTGTGCGGTCTTGCGATCATGGTCCACCATATTTTGGGCGTTATTGGAGTCAAGTTTATTTTTGTTCAGTTTGTACTACGTTGGGGCTCGCATCGAGATTGGCACTGTTGGGTTAGGCGGCATATGTAGTGAGAGCTGGTGATGACAACGATTATGATAATGAGAAGGTCAAAGCTGGCAATAGTCGCCAGAGACACGCCTTCCCAACCTCTCGACAGGGGCACGAAGCTCTAGACATCAAATGGCTATATCTGTCTTTCTGTAGAAGACGGCTCGGGATATTGCATCACGAAATGAGTTTGAAGTGACAGTCTTCGGTCGTCATCACTAAGCTACCACGCAAAGTGAAAGTTGGCCAGAACCGTAGACGGACAAGCAAGGTGGTCGAGGTTGATAGATGGACTAGGTACTTCAGAATGCATCTTAATTTGGCCCAAAGAACAATTCTCCATTTCCCTACTCAACCGGGAAAAGAACCCGGAATATGCTGACAGACGAGCGACATAACTGGAACGTGAGCCCAAGATCCAAACCCGACAGAACCCAACACATCACAACAACAACAAACATAATCAAATACTCACAATCTTTCTTCCCTAACATGAAGCATAGGAAGAACCCCGACCTCCTCTATGCCCATGATTCAACTGCCTTTCCTCGTGTTTCGGAACAACGGCATTGTATTTTTGAGGCCGACCCGTCTACCCAACGCAATGCGGGATGTCTACCTCCCGTCCAGAATCTCCCCCCGCCGAGCCTGCCAAGCCAAGGTTTGGCGATCGGGAAACGCGGCACACCTTGATGAATTGCAACGCGACATTTTGCGAAGCCAGGAAGGTGGGAAGGTAAGCAGAAGCAGACGCAGACACGCAAGTAACCACTCGGTCTTTTTACCTTCCCCGCGGTTGCCTTGCGTGCGGGAAGAGCTTCTGACATGACATGAGCATGGCGTTTACTGCTGGCCGCGGGGGTCTCAATGGAGGTTATGAAGGGCATCTTGTTGAAACCAGGGCATAATGAGAGAAACAGATGTGCAGGGTCCTGGTCCACGCAGACCGCAAGCTTCTGTGAGGTTCTGGACTTGAATTGAATTGAATTGAATTGAATTGAGAGCTTCTCTTTCACCTGCTCCCGGTTTGTTCGTTCGTTAGTTCCTCGAGTGAACGTCAAGGTGGTTCGATTGGGCTGGGCTGTCCTTGGCTGGGAGAGAGTTCTGGTCTCATTGATAGTGGCAGTTATGTAGCTAACTTTTATCCAGCATACTCGAGGGTGATGGGTGCCTTTTTGGCTGGGCGCCAAGGCTCTTTCACCCTCTTCCCGTAAGGAGAGGGTGGCAATAATTTAGGATATAAAATAAACTTGGGACAATCAAATTTGTATACACAACATTAGCAAATCTGTTAGTGAAAGCTAAAAATTATAATTTCTTAACGAAATCTTTATTAAATATTATATTAAAAAAAAAAAAAAAAATAAATCTAAAAAAAGGAAATAGATTCCAAATAAGTGCATCCCAAAAAAAATCTTCTGCCTTTGGAAATATCAATTTCATTATTATCTCTTTACCACATTAACTAATATTGTAGCTTCTTGTTTTATATAAGAAAATATTACTTTTTTCAATTTTTTCAATATTGTATTGATAAAAAAAAAAACGCTTTAAGCTTGAGGATATTATTTCATCCTAGCCCTATCTTTTATCAAATTTACATTAAGATCCGGATAGTAGTTCATGTTGGTGTTGAGTTAAGAAGTTGATTTCCCATACGAAAAAGCGTATCCCAGATTTACTTCATATCCCAAATTATTACCACCTTCTCCAAATGAAGAGAGGGTAAAAGAGAGCCTTAGCACGCCCAAGAAAGCGAACCCATCACCCTCGAGTACCTCTATGAGCCATTGTTAAGAGACTAGACTCTCTTTAGCGTACTCGCTAAGCCCCGCTCTTACCACTATGGGGCTCTCGGACCACCAATGACATCACCAGATACCCCACTACTGTACCGCGACTCCGATGCCGATCAACATCCTGTCTAAGAAGGCACGCATCTGCAACGCTTTCCGTCTGTGGTGTTGGCGAGAGGGGCCTGAGGGGGTGAATGTGAGGGTGCGTGAGGGGTCAAAGACATTTTCAGAAAGTGATCGGGAAGATCCCTATGGGAAGGCTGGAAGGGACCATCCTCGCTTGCTTGGTGTTTCATGATTTTTTCCCGAGCTTCTTCTTCATCTCGAGGGTTGTGCGTTCAGGTGACAAGCAGTTCGTCAACTTTGTCAGTTTTTGGTCCTCGAGCGCAGACCGCGCAGAGCGCGCAGACCTGACGGACGGTTAAGGTTCCGGAACTTGGTGGGTGGGCGGCTCGTGGGGTGGAGTTTCAGGAACGGACAGGGAACCAACTCGTAACCATTTGTCAAGACCGGGCTATTCACGAGTAGGGCCTCGGTCCTTTCCATTGGGTCTCCCACGGGGTCCTCATTCTATTTGTTGTTGTTGTTCTTGTCTGTGCCCTGGACGGGACCGTGGATGGTGGGTTCCTAGAGCAGACCGGGAAGTAAATCTTGGATTCAGTAGTCCGTTCTTAACCTTCGTACTTGAGGCTTTCCCCCGCTCCTACTTATCTCGTGGTCTTTCTTCCCTTCCTCTTTCTTCCTCTTCCTTACGAACGGCCTCAACTTCCACCTCTACCTCCCTCCTCTCGCTCTATACCCTCGTCTGTACTGGCAGACGTGCTCTCGCTCTTGTTGTACCCGTTTTTTGCTTATAGCTCAAACTTTTGTTGCTTCGTGTTTACGAGATACCCATTTGCTCATCACGTTCATCCTTTTCAGCGATCAGCCTTAGACGATCGCTTTTGGAAAATCACGGCCGGAGACTTCGAACCCGTTAGCGACGCCATCATCTAAGAACACTTTTATACCCCCAATTCAAACGATAAACTACCAATCAGTCAAAATGGGCAAGGTAAGGACCACTCTGTCTCCCGGGCCACACAGAATTCCACGAACGGCCACTAACAACCGATCCGTCACACAGGTCAACACCATCCTCTTCGACTGCGACAACACCCTCGTCCTTTCGGAGGAGCTCGCCTTCGAAGGCTGCGCCGACCTGATCAACCAGATTGCCGCCGCCAAGAATGTCCCGCTCGAGAAGGCCTTCACGGGCGAATCGCTCATCGTCGAGTTCGTCGGCCAGAACTTCCGGGGAATGATGCGCTCGCTGCAGGAGCGGTACAACTTCCCGCTCACTGAGGAGGAGCTAGACACATACGTGAAGAAGGAAGAGGACGTGGTGATCGCCAAGCTGCAGGAGAAGCTGTCGCCCTGCCCCAACGTCGACGACGTGCTCGAGCGTCTGGCGACCGAGGGCAAGTACGAGCTCGCGGTGGTGAGCAGCTCCGCTTTGCGCCGCGTCAAGGCCAGCATCGAGAAGGTCGGCCAGGACAAGTACTTTGGCGACCGCGTGTTCAGCGCGGCCACAAGCCTGGAGAAGCCGACGAGCAAGCCCGACCCGGCCATCTACCTGCACGCGCTCAAGGTGCTGGGCAAGAAGGCAGAGGAGTGCGTAGCGGTGGAGGACAGCAAGAGCGGCACGCTGAGCGCGGCGAGGGCGGGCATCAAGGTCATTGGGTATGTTGGACCCTACCAGGCCGCGGAACGCCTCAAGATGGAGAAGGTCCTGGCGCAGGCGGGTGCTTCCATCATCATGGATGACTGGAAGCAGTTTGAGGGGTACATGGCGGCGATCGAACAGGGCGACTATTAGAGTGTTTTTTTTTGTTTAGACGATATCCATCATGTTTTTTTCTTTCTTGGTTTCCATTGAATTAAAACAGCCCATTTTCATTTTCGCCAGTCCATTAGAAAACTGTTTACGCTCTGAAGAGTTGCCCTGCTCGGGTTGGCATCGGGAAATGCTGTCATGATATGACCGAGCTTCACCCTAATGGAAGGCTTGTTGTGATTCTGCTCTTGGTCCTCTGCAGACCTCACCGTCCCAGCCGAGTCGGCAAAGCACCAACAGTAAAGAGCAAGAGCCACTCCAACTGACAAGTCTCTTCCCGACTCGCATAACAAGACAACCTCTTTATTTGCATCTCTGCCCGCGCCGGTGCCCGTCCCTATCTCCGTCTCGACATCGTGATCGGCGGGTTCTTGCAGGAACCGCGAGACAAAGTCGCAAATACTCGGCAACGCCTCCCTTAAGAACCGACTCGCAGTCTTGCTCTTACCCAGCCCAACTTCCATATGCCTCTTGGACTTCTCCCACGTCTCCTTTTCCGTCGTCTTCGGGACCAGACTAACCACACAAACCTCTTTCTTGGAACTCGAAGAAGCGCTCCGCAGCGCTTCTTCCTCGGCCGATAACGCACCCACCAACAACCTCGGCGCAACCCTCTTCAACTCCCCGACCGCTTGTCCACCCGCCTCCGAATTGGCAACCAGCTCCTCAATCAACCCCGGCAAATGCCCCTCCGGCGTCTCCAGTAGCCGACTCTGGTTCGCCCAGAACAGCGGCGCTGTCAACCCGTGCGCCCAGTTCTCCGTGTCGTCGCCCGCGCCCTGGATATATCCCTCCTCGCTCATCTCCGTCCCAACCACCCGGCGGGAGCTGGTGCAGCAGACGACGGGGTGGTAGCGGGTCTTGATCTCGGCGAGCATTTCCGGGGTGAGGTCGTCGTCGGGGGTTACCCAGAGCGGACGGAGGGGTTTTTTGGATGTGTTGCCGGAGAGCAGGGAGGTCGGGTTGGAGAGCGAGGAGGGAGGTGAGGAAGAAGGGAAGGCGGGAGGTCATTTGGGAGGCTTCGGAGGAGGAGACTACGGTGGGCGGGACGTGGAGGTCATGGGAAGAAGGGTGAGAGGGGAAGAGGGTTTGGTTGAGGACGGCGCACCATGTGGGAATGGTTTTGGAGAGGGCGTCGGGCATACCTGTTTATGATGTGAGTGAGAGGTTCTGACTTTGGAGTTGTCAAGGGGACGGGTGGTGACATACGCTTGCCTCGCCTGGTTGAGTCTACGATGATGCATCTGTGATCCATCACGATTGTCAGTAAGGGAAGTTAAGTACTACTACAATCAGATATGCAGTGAGAGCAAACAAACCCATCATGTCTCCCAATAACCTCCAAAAGATGAAAGTTCAACCTCCTCGTGCTAAACTTCCACTGGCCCGTATGTCCATCGGTGCTCTTAAAGTAAGCAGACAACCTTTTCAGGGCGGGGATCGATATACCAGCTGCCGCACCGCTCGTTAGCCACGAGCGGCAATCCCAGAACATCAGCTACCTTCTGCACGAAGGCGGCATCGTGCTGGATGGACTTGAGCCGGTTGGTGATGGAAAGATTGGACTTTTTGAGATCGCCTAGGATCTTGGAGAAGTTGTGGTTGGCTTGCTCCGAAAAGACAATGTCTGCTAGGGTGGGAGCCGGCATCACGGGCTCTTTTTTCCGATGCCTTTAGCTTTACGGGCTTACGCCGGAGCAAATTTCGATTTTATCTCTCTCCTTGCAGTGGTTGTGTATACTGTATTGTATGTAAGCGATGATGATAATGATGATGATGATGATGATGATGATGATGATGATGATGATGATGATGGAAAGCCGGACCCCGGATTTCTCGAGTCGGGGAGATAGATCCCGTGATGCGACTATTCGATGCTTCTTCCTTGTTTCAAAAACTGCAATACGAGACTGCCCTGGTCCGATATGTTGATGTTAGGTATGTTGTGACTGGTATTTTGGGAGGGAGTTATTGTATCTTGATGAGCCCGAATATCGTGGCTTAGATTTCTTGGTGTTGAGGACGACGGAAGGTTACGATGAAGTCAAGAAAGAACCCTGCCTGCAGTTGTCCGGCACTGAAATCTGCGATTTCAGTTCCCTAGCGTGTAAGAAACTTTACGGAAACCTTGAAACAATCCTCTCGGCTTGTAACGAAGCTCGCGCGAAGGAAGTGTGGATTCTTACACTACTGTACTGCGGTATGTACCTGTACGCTAGTGCGGTAAGGTAAAGTAGCGGCCCAAGCCACTGCGCTAAGCCCGTTTCGAGTCCACACCTACTGGATCAACTCCACACGTCCCGGCGGGTGGCCGGGAGCTGGGGACCGGGCTCGGGGATCCCGAGGAAGGATGCTGTTGCGGGAGGTCGGGAATGGACATGAACACTGGACGTCCGAAGTATGCCTCGCAAGGCTGATCCTTTTTTGGTGATGAGTTGTTTCGAGGATCGCTGTTGCAATGTCGGAGTTGAAATTGTCAATACGTAAACACGGAAGTCTGGTGTTGTTGAGAAGTTCGCTCGCTGCAAGTGAAATCAACACCGAGGATTTTGCTGACGCAGGTGCACGGATTCATGTCATTGCTTTTCCGCTTTAGCACCGTTGAAAGGCTTCTGTACGCTGTATGGTAAGAATGGGAAGAGCAAGGTGATCAGCAGCCATAACCGATCTTTCGAAATCCAGTTCACTCGTGTCTGTATCAAGTTGAAGTTAATTAAATAGGAACATGGAGGCACATATCATCATCATCATCATCAATCGTGTGGTCGATCTTGGTCGAGAAAACGATGAGATCTGGAATCATCCAGGGGCACTGATTACTGAGTGACCCCACATTCTTGACGACCAAAGAGTCTGGGCCTCCATTTTCTGCCCTTGAGGTTTTCTTTCTGTAACGCCATCAACGGTACGCTAAGGCAGTCGAACAACGTATGGAAAACATCATAACCGACGTTACAATTGCACGGCTTCTTCGAAATCTTGAAACTGGTTTCGAAGCGAAAGGATTTTTGGCTATTTCCCATTCTGACACCAACAAGATTGGTTCATCCAAAAATCGGCTTTTTCGTTTGGCCCGAATTCACCGTCACCTACATTCACACAAGAAGACAAGGAAATAGTTTGACCTTTTTTTTTCTTTTCGAATGATGGCACGATTGGCTATGATTGGCAATCGGAGTTCCCGATAGCTGTCTGCTCGGGCCAAGCTCCTGAACTGGAAACTCATTACACAGCGGCATGTAAGCCCGCCATTTGTCCTTTTATTATTTCCTTTCCTCGCTCGCGCGGCTAATCAAAAGTCCCAGACGGGAAGGATGCCCGGCTTTCTCATTGGCAGCCCCAAACTTGTCAGCGTACGGGACATGTTTCTTCTGGCGCTTCACGTTTTGCTTTTGAGTAATGCTACCGGTCTGACGAGCCTCTGTCGAGGTTCTTGTAAATGTCTGGAACGACGACAAACAAGCTGGCTGATAACTGCCGAGTACCTAGCAGATGTCAATCAAGGTGAAACGGAAATACCACGGCATTGACGACTCTGACTGCACCACGAAACATGCAAGCCAGCTTTGTGGCCCTCATGGACCGCCGTTTCCCCTGCGTCAGGTACCGTGTTGCCGGCGTCACAAAGGCCGGCTTCCGGGCGTTGTCCGCACCGTGACCGGCCGTAGCTCGGCTCCGCACCGGACAATTCTGTCCGGTTTACCACATTCGAGGATAGCTCCACGGCGTCGACAGGTGCCCCGCATGAAAGTTCGATAGCACAACACTGCCAGTTGACACAGCCTCTTCTGCTCCAGCATCACCCCCAGCCCAGAGGGTCCGACGATACTTGAGATCGTTCGAAACTGTCGTCCTGCGTTCCTGCCGGCGAAGCTTTTGTCGAGAGAAGTGTCTTGACTTCGAGACACCGCAAATTTAAAACACCCCGCCAATCGGCATATGAAGCTCTCGATTCTTGGAGATCATGGTCTGAAGCTAATCCCGGACGATGCCTTTGAAAAATGGGGCGCCGAGAACAGATCAGAAGATAGGAAGCTTGCTGATTGGTGGTGATGGAGACATGCTTGGCATGATCCCTAGCTTCGCCGCAAAATCATCAACGTTTCGACTTCACTCTTTTCTGAAGCCACCGACGCAACTTCTCTTCACTCTTCATTGGTGAAGACGTCAGACTGCTCAGGAATGTGCACTTCGCCTACGCCGCCCGGCCGCACCTAGCGAGGCCACCCATCCCTAACTTAGGGGACCGACCACCCTGAATTTAGGGCTGATGAGGAACTGCAAGTCAACGGGCGAAGGATCTGATGCCAGCCATTGAGAGCTTGTCCCAGGGAAAGGGTATGCAGTCGATGTAGGTATGTATGTACCTACATTCTCTGTCCGTCCTCTTGGGTCAATAGCCGTTCGTACATGCGTTTGTTGTCTTGAAAATGCGCAGCAGCCAGGCCATGGCCCAATCATCACGGTTGGGTAAGCTTCGCGATCACCATCCGAGCCATCCAAGCCGCACCGCCGCCTGTGGGTCGTAGGGCTGGAATGGAGAGCAAAGCCGGCGCCGGCCGGTGTTCGATTCGTCAGTGGACCACCGACTCTTCAACCCTCCACAAAGTCCATATCATTCTCATCGTAGCCCAGTGGCCCTACCTTCTTACTACGCCGCCATCCCGTGGTGTAGTCTTTCGGCCCGGCACCGTCAAGACCGCATCATAATCTTGCGCAACGTCGGTCCATGTTTGTTTATGTGTCGATCTTCATCAGCCCCAGCCATGGGTGATGTTGGTAACACAGACATGACGGGGTGACTAGTGGTCATTGCCGGACTTGGGTTGACGTTGACGTTGACGTTGACGTTGACTGTGTAGCTGTTATCCAAGCCTTTGCCGCCACATCGCGGTTACCATCATGCTGCCCTTTGTTGCGCAAAGTTGCGATTCCTAGGGAAACTCGGACAGAGGTCGGTTATAGTCCAGTCGGATAAGCTCCAGCCAAAACAGACTCGTGGCCCCTGTGGAAGGGTCCATCTCTACAGCATCCGCAGCTCCTCTTGCGCGACTTTCAAGCCGTTAGATGTTGAGATAACAAACTGGCAAGACATGGACATGCGGTCATGTTTGTTGAGAATGGCAGTGAAGACGCCGGCACATGATTTCGAAACGGGGGAGCCAATGCGCGCGGCCGGACTAGCTAGCCTACTACGTAGGTAGCCTCCGCCTACAGGTACGTACACAGCCTGGTGAGACCCTCGGTCCCTCAGAGGCAACCTTGCAGCCGTGTGGCACCCCATGTCCTACGAGCCAAACAGAAGCGGTGACCTTATGAATTATTTTCCCCTGCCCGCTGTGGAAAAATGATGGTTACGTACCTTGGCTTTTTCCTTGCTTTAGCTTGCCTTGCCTTTATCCCACCAAGAGACCTCATCAAAAAGAAACGCGGGGTGAACACCATCCATTCAAGCATCTCGGGATCTGAATGATGGAGGGAGGCATCTGTACCTACCCCCATCTCCCATAACGAGGCCTTCCCCCATGGAGATTGCTTCTTCCAACAAAACCCCATCACCCGAACCCCAATAATATCCCAATTCATTACACATCGGCTTGGAGACTCATTAAGGCCATCCACAAGCGAGAGCCGTGACCGACTTTGTTCCCATCTTGGCGTCCATTAGGGATTCGAGTTTTGATTGTTTCGCACGAGAATACATAGCACACAGTTTGTTACCGTTACATGGCTTTTACAGACCCGTTTAATAAAGCATGGGTCGAATGATAGGGCAGCGTGGCGGATGGCGGCCTGCATACGGTAGCGCATGTTACCCCCTAGTCATTACAGTAGTACAGGACGGACTAGTTCCAGTACGTGTAAGAAGCTCTCTTCCCCCAATGCCATGAGGGTGTCTTTAAGAAGTCCTGGATTCGCCAAAGCTCCTCCCACCCTTGCCTTTTGTTTAATTCCATTTCTTCCCCCAAACCGAACCTCAAGTGACACCGACGTCGGCGTATCGCCTCGCTGCTTGCTGCTTGCTACTTACAACTAACTAGCCATACTCATCCCGTCGTTGTTGGTCCCTGATTGCGTCTGATCACCGGCGGTCCACTTCGTCCCGAGCTCGACGACATATCCACATACAACACATACATACATATTTACACATCGAAGACAACCGATCTGTTTGCGCGCGACGGTCCGATACACATTCAAGGCAACGAATTCGAGCCTGCCGCACGACTGCGGTTTCTTCGAGTCTTCGTCGACTGCGATGCCGCTACTTGACACCTGCTTTCACCCCAGACCGAAACCGAATAGCTCCAATCAACTCCAAGAGATCGACGTCTAAATACCAGCCTTCATGTCATCATCACCAGAACTTGGCCACTCGCCTCAATTCTCTAGCCTCTCCTCCGACATGATCGCAATATCAGCCATGAACGGCACGGCAGTTGACGCTTCGCAAAGGCCAAAGCGGGCGAGGACGAGCAAACCAAAAGTCAAGACTGGTTGCAGCAACTGCAAGTACGTACATTGCATTATGCATGTAGAAAGTTAGGACGATATGGATATGGGATGGCAGCTTGAAAGCATGGGATGAGATGCTAACAAGCCTTTCTCGGCCAGGTTGCGGAGAATCAAATGCGATGAAAAGCGGCCGGCGTGCTCCAACTGCGTCCGTTCCAGGAAGGAATGCACAGGTTACCCACCTCCGCCCCGGAGCGCGAGGCCATTCGAAGAAATCAGGATTGCGCCGAAACCACGACTGGCAGCAGCGACACCTCTTCCTGGCCGCGATGCTCCAATTCAACTTGCCCCACGCCGAGCTCTCAAGCAGTACCAAAGGCGAAACACACCTCCCGAAACACCACCACGAGAGTCTGCTGCCACTGCCGTGATACTCCACCGAGCGCCGACCGCGAACGTGCCATTTACCGACAGAGAGGGCTTGTACTTCCAGTTGTTCCGCGAACATACCGCCAACGAGCTTTCGGGATTTTTTGATTCTGGTTTCTGGTCGCGAACTGTCCTACAAGAATGCCACTCGGAGCCGACGATCCGCCATGCCGTGGTGGCATTAGGCGCCCTGTATAAGACATTGGAGAAGACGTGTGAATCGCCGCCGGGCTCTCCAGCCAGCGATCGAGATCCCACCGACCTTGCCATGACGCATTTCCGAATGGCTCTGGAGAAATATCACGAGGCCATCCGCTCGCTCCTAAACACAGAAGATCCCATGTCCAACCGGACAAGACTCATGGCCAGCGTGCTGCTAGCCTGCTTCGACTCGTTCGTTGGCGACCACAAACAGGCCATTTTCCAGATCCAGACAGGACTCCAGTTACTCGAAAAGCTGCGTGCTGAGAGGAGGCGGGCCTTCATCACCCAGCCGGGCGAGCCCGTGGAAGACGAGCTGATCCAGATGTTCACCAGGTTGGCGATCCAAGCCAAGTCCTACGACATGGCGTTCCACTTCCCGCAACCGTACGTCGTGCGCTTGACAGCAGCCGAGCAGGACCCCTCATCACCAGCTTCCGACGCCAGCTCGCCCGGCTCCCAGTTCCAGGAACCCATCCCCGACCGCTTCGCTTCCGTAATAGAAGCGCGTGTGGCATGGGACAAGCTCTGCGAGCGCATCTTCAAGTTCACCGAGACCATGTTCAAGCACGTTCCCAACGGGCCCATGGGGCTATTACCTCCCAACCTGAAGCGCTACGGCCTCAGCTTCAAACAGGATCTCGACGCCTGGTCGGAAGCCTTCGAGCCGATCCTCCAGTCGCGAACCGCACCGGGGGTAACCAGCCAGGAAAAGGCTGCCATCGCCGTCCTGAAGATGTTCCAGATCATGGCCCTGATCCTCTTCCTCATGACCTTCAACGCGTCCGAGATGCAGTTCGACAACTTCAACAGCTACTTCAAGACCATCGTCGACCTCGCCTTGGAAGTCGTCGGCGACGAAGAGCGCCGCGCAGCCGCCAAGCGCTGTCCGGATCCGGAGTTCTGCCGGCACGGTCATGACCATCATGGCCACAACGCGCGAGGAGCGCCACGAGACATATTTGGTGGGCATGAGTATGCGGCCCGGCATATCAAGCCGAGCTTCAGTGCCGACCTGGGAATCGTGCCTCCCCTGTTCGTGGTGGCGACCAAGTGCCGCGACCCCGTGATCCGAAGGCAAGCTATCCAGCTCCTCCGCAGTAGTGCTCGGAGAGAGGCCATGTGGGATAGCGAGCTGACGGCCAGGATCGGCATGTGGATCACGGAGATTGAGGAGTCGGATGATTTTTCTATAATCACGCCGGGAAGTAGCCCCGTGGCGAGTTACTCGCAGATGTCCCTGTCTATGGGCATGGGCATGGGTATGGGTATGTTTGGGGCTATGGACGAGGCTGCCGTCGTGGTGGAGAGCATGGATGGAGCCGCCGCAGCAAGTGAATCCGGGGTGGTCAGGTCTGATAGTAACGGGAGTGCGGCGAATGGGAATGGAAGTGCGAGGTGGGGAAGAAGGACGGGGAGTTCCAGCTCCAACAGGTCTGCTGGGAGCAGCAGCACCCACTACATTTGGCCAACACAGCAGCAGTTGGCGCCGCCAAAGGTCATTCCCGAGGAACGGCGAGTGATGGTGAGAGCAGTTCAGTTCGACTTGCACAAGCGGACGGCTACCGTCCAGCTTGGCACGAGAGGGTTGCGGAACGGTCAGATGGATTTGAAGACTAGGACTACGAGTATTACGTGGTGATTGCAATATTTTGGATACCCCACCAAATGACAGAAAGAACAATTTTGTTTTATATGAAAACGCTATTGGGCCTTATATCAAGAAATGTTTGATGTCGTTGTCCTTTTTTATATACCCCTTTCCTTTTGAATATTCGGAAACGACATTCTTCTCGAAACATCTTACATGAACAGAAGAAGAGAAGAACTGGAAAAGAACGTTACGGATGACAGAAGACCGTTTTCCACGTTACAAGGAGCTACCTCTAGGTCTGCAGTTTCAAATGTAGCTTGGAACGACTATACAAACTCAAGCCTCTATGGAAATGCATCAAAGTTACTATGCTATCTTGTCAGTCTTGAACCAATAGAGAAGATGATCAAAGTTACTGACGTTACGACTCCTTTCCATTACACCAACCGAAATCGTTCTCTGAAACCAAGCCTTCCGACATTCGTCCGTCCCGTGATCACACTCATCAAGTTTAAAACAAGGACATGGATATACACATCCAAGTGAATATTGAATATAAAGTCAAGGAGAAACCGTATACTCCATACCCCAACGAACCCGCCAACAAACGCCAGATAACATAATATACCTACATGACTGCCCGTCCACATCTATTCCGTCCCCACCCCCATGTTCGTTTCTCATTCACAGGTACATCTTGAGTTTCGTATATACCCACCCGTACTTCAAATGCCTTCCTCGTTCATTCGTTCATTCGTCCATTGTTCATGGTTCATTGCCGTTTCGTAACCGTCTGTCTATTCCTCCTCATCATCATCATGATCCAACGACTCAACAAACGTCATCGTGACACCTTCATTACCAGTATCAACATTCAAGTTGACAGCATCAATAGTGGTGTCCCGCTTCGCTTCCGTACCGGTGGTGGTGGTGGTAGCATTGCGTTTGGCGAACTTGATGGGTACGTTGGCGATGTAAGAATGGACGACCTCACGCGCTGCGAGTTCGGGGTAGTTCCGGTCTTGGAGGGCTGCCGAAGGGAATAATGTGTTAGTTAAGCTAGCTCGGGAGACATAGAAAAAGGAAGAGGCAGCAAAGGTGGAAGGTGTAAGTGGAAAGCGGGTGAATGTGAATGTGAAGTGACTGGTGACTGAGTTACTTACAAACAGGAATACCCCTCCGGACATACATGGTCGTCACCTTTGTTGTCCTGCGTCTCGGGGCGGTGGTGGTCTCGTCGTTGGCGGTGGCGCGCTTCTTCTTCTTTTTCTCGGCGGCGGCGGGTTCTGCGTGAATCCCATTAGCAACTCGGACTTGAAGAACGGCTTTCGTAACAATGAGCGGATGGCAAACACTTACGAGTACTAGCATTATTATCCACAATAATGCCCACCCCCGAGCCTTCAGCACCAGTACCCAACTGAACCTTAGGTCCCTTGGTCAAGGCCGCCTCAGAGAACTTGAGCGCCCTGTCAAAGCCGGCAAGGTCTCTCTTAATCTTGGCCTTGTCTAGGTCTAGAGGTACCGCTTCCATGTCATCGCACGGCTCAGCCCGAGGGGCGATCGACTTCTTGCCCATGCCTTGGAGGCCCTGGATGGACTGGGCCTTTACAGCAGGGTTCTTATCATCAGCTTTTAACACATTCTTAATCTGAAGTGATACGGTAAGGTAAGGTAGGGTGAGGTACTCACTTGTTGAGCAAGAGTGGGATCAATCTTGGGAGCGTTGTTGTTGTTGTCGACCGCTGCCGGGCTGACACCTCCGGGGGTCGTGGGCACGACAACTGGTGAGGAAGGCAGGACGGTGGGAGCAGCAGCGACGACGACGGGAGCGGCGGCAGCTTGAACTGGCTTCTTTTCCTCGGGAGCCACATCGGCGTTGGAGGCAGCACCTGCGGCAGCGTTAACCGCAGCGCCTTCAAGTGCGTTGATCAGTTGCGAGACGTCCTGTTTACCTCCGAAGCTTATTTCACCATCACCTGGTTCATGCTGTTAGTGACTTATGTATTTGCTGGGGAGCAAATGTTGGGTTGGGACTTGCCGACTACCAAAGCGGGCGAGTATGCCCCCAAGTTGATGTTGAGCGGAAGAGCGGCAGCCAGGCCGGCGAACATGACGGAGGAGTATTTGACCATTTTTGAAAAATTGTAGCAACGACCACCAGGGACTTGCGTTTAGAAACTCGGTAGTATGAAAAAAAATATTAAGATGATAGAAAGAATATGCGACCAGCGACTACGACCAGCGTATGAGAATGAGAATACCGAGTGAATATGGAGGAAGAAACTGGAAGATCGAGCGCTGCTGATGGATGATGAAGCAGAAAGGCCTTAGAAAAAACGCCGAGACTTGATCTTTATGGATAACTTAAGACAATGACGAAGGAGTAGGACGAGTTGCTTTCTCTCGACCCCTCTCTCGACCCCATCACTGCCATAACTTCATGGGTGACAGGAGACTACGACACGCCTCTGTGAAACGCCAAGTGAGACTGATCACCTACAACTGAAGGGTAGCTAACCGACCGTGAGGGATATCCTGAACACTGGAAAGCTCCTGTAAGGGGGTAACAAACACCGACATGGGGTATAAAGGCGGCTGACTCTGAGTGTCCTTGGAGGCCAGTGGTCGATGAGAAATGCAAGGCGAGAAAGGTCTAAGGGCAATAAGGATGCGGAGAAAATACAGTACCGCAGGGGTTGAGACAATCCCAAGGGAGAGGCTCCGGAGAGCGATAGTATGGATCGTCACGTTCTAGTATCATGGAGGATAGTGTAGTCGTTCAGCTCTGTATCCGAGACCTGCCAAGAAGTTCCGAGCGGCATTGAGATGTTCGAAGATAAGGTTCTAGGCGCTCTGTAGCATCTAGACCACGGAGTACTGGCTCCCTGACGATGATACTGACCGTGAAGTCTGTGACAACCATTGCTTCGTCGCGATCAGACCTCGTGCCAAGCGCGGAGGCTGTTGAAGAAGCTTTGCTGAGCCGCCGGGTTCAAAGGCTTGTTTAGGAGATCTGAGCATTTGCAACGTCGAGAAACCTGGGGGCAGGGGTCACAATGCTACCTGGGATCTGTAACAGAATCTAGCCCGTGCTCTTGATAGTCAACACGTACCGAGACTCTGTCACAGTAGGCGGCAATGTAAACACCAACCACAATGACTTGGTACACCGAAGGAGACATCGTGGCTCATGCAAGCGAAGCACACCTTGGACACGGGAGTCGGAGCTCGATGCTGATTGATGGATATTTACCAGCAAGAAGATTAGATTGGCCGTTGATATGAGAGCTATTGTATCGGCTTGAAGACTGGCGTCTGGAGTCCCCAACTTGAACGGGTTTGATGCGCAAGTAGATGGGGGTTATCTCAAAGAGGGCGAAGAAAAACCCATCCGACCTCGATCAAGCTGCTGACCGTTCAGTTTGGTCTTTGCCTCCGGACAACCCTGAAGTACACTTTGCAGTTTCGTCCGATGTCAGCCGGATTTGACATGAAGATCGAAAGAGTTGCGTGGTGCAGACCACAGCCGGGCAAAGCGATACCAATCCCTTGATATACAGTCCTGACGATGCTCCCATGTCGCGAGATGATTTCATATAGCCATATAAGCCGTAACACCAGGGGTCTGGTTACTACCAAACCCAAACAATGTCCATCAGCGTTTGGATTGGTTCCTTGCTCTTCTCTATCTTTGGCCCCAGCTCTTCCAAGCAAGCATCTCAACCGCACGGATCCCAAAAACACGTGAAAGACAATCTCCATCGATTTCCCCATACCTGAGGTAGAAGTGCTCGAAGTTATCTGGCCCTGGTGCCCATGACCCGGCGAGTGTCCTAGCGTATCGGAGTATATTGGGGTTTGCCGACACTTGTCTTATTTTTCTGATCATGTTCAGGTCTTTGCGCACTAGAAAATGTCCAGGAGGAAAGCCGTGAGGTGATATTCTACTTGCATATCATCCTGAACAGGCTCTGGAAGCACATAAGCGAACCGTGACAGAAGACACAAAGTTCGAGCAACATGACAATAGGCTCGGTTGCTGGGGAAACTGTACCCGCCGTGTTAGTAAAGGTGTCTCCACTCTCCACTTTGATGCTATCACCAAACCGTAAAGGTGCGCAGCCGTCTGAGGTTCCTGGAAGAGCAGAAAATATACTTGAGAATGCTCAATGCAGAGGAAGGGAAGAGGGTATATGACGATGGCAGAGTTGACAGTCATTGTAACAGAAAAGAGTGCCGTAGTATGACAGAACGTCGTTGAAGTTGGGAATGGAGACAAACATATCCCGCAGACCTGGATGAACTGGTGGTCTGGTTCAAAGTCCAAGTTCGGACTGGAACGGCAAACAGTTCACCCCATCTCGATCTCGGCGGAGAGCCCGGGCGTGCACGGCTCGCACAGCACTTTGTGCGTTCCAAAACTGCCCCGCACGATAGGGAAAAGCAGGTCTTGGCATGGCAATGGGTCCATGCGCGACAGGCCCAAAATTTTGGATCGAGCCAAATATTTTCCCCAGGTCGAAGGTTTCCCATCCAGCACTCCTCGTATCGTCTGAGGTCCTGTTGGCTCGCTCTCCTTTCAACTCCTCCCGCTCATTCCTTGTGTGTGTTTTTGCGGATACCCTCAAGATGTCGATTCTCAGGACGATCGCCCCCTTCATGAGGGCGGCCCGTGCCGGTGCCAACACCAACCCCCTCATGGCCATGAGGTCCCCCATCCTCAACCGCGGATACGCCTCCTTCCAGCGTACCAAGCCTCACGTCAACATCGGTACCATTGGTCACGTTGATCACGGCAAGGTATATATAGATCCTTAGAAGAAAGCAAGGACCTTGACGACTGACATACATACCTCCCCCTCCTGTAGACTACCCTCTCTGCTGCCATCACCAAGCGCCAGGCCGACAAGGGCCTCGCCAGCTTCCTCGACTATGGCTCTATTGACAAGGCTCCCGAGGAGCGCAAGCGTGGTATCACCATCTCCACTGCCCACATCGAGTACTCGACCAACAACCGCCACTACTCCCACGTCGACTGCCCTGGTCACGCCGATTACATCAAGAACATGATCACTGGTGCCGCCTCCATGGATGGCGCTATCATTGTCGTCGCCGCTTCCGATGGCCAGATGCCCCAGACCCGTGAGCACTTGCTCCTCGCCCGTCAGGTCGGTATCCAGCGCATTGTCGTCTTCGTCAACAAGGTCGATGCCATTGACGACCCCGAGATGTTGGAGCTCGTCGAGATGGAGATGCGTGAGCTTCTCTCCAGCTACGGCTTCGACGGCGATGAGACCCCCGTCATCATGGGCTCTGCCCTCTGCGCCCTCGATGGCAAGCGCCCCGAAATCGGTGTTGAGAAGATCGATGCCCTCATGCAGGCCGTCGACGACTGGATCCCTACCCCCGAGCGTGACCTCGACAAGCCCTTCCTCATGTCCGTTGAGGATGTCTTCTCCATCGCCGGCCGTGGTACCGTCGCCTCTGGCCGTGTCGAGCGTGGTACCCTCAAGCGCGACCAGGAAGTCGAGATTGTCGGCAAGGGTACCGAGATCATCAAGACCAAGGTCACCGATATCGAGACCTTCAAGAAGTCCTGCGAGGAGTCCCGCGCCGGTGACAACTCCGGTCTGCTCCTCCGTGGTATCCGCCGCGAGGACATCAAGCGTGGCATGGTCGTCGTCGCCCCCGGCTCCGTCAAGGCCCACACCAAGTTCCTCGTCTCCCTCTACGTCCTCTCCAAGGAGGAAGGTGGTCGCCACACCGGCTTCCAGGCCAACTACCGCCCCCAGATGTTCATCCGCTCCGCCGATGAGTCCGTCTCGCTCACCTTCCCCGAGGGTACCGAGGATGCCGACTCCAAGATCGTCCAGCCCGGTGACAACATCGAGTTGGTTGCCACTCTCTGCCACCCCATCGCCGTCGAGGCCGGTCAGCGTATCACCGTCCGTGAGGGTGGCCGCACCGTCGCCACCGGTATCATTACCCGCATCATGGAGTAAACCATCAACTACTCACAGCAATGAGATGACGTTGAAGCTGTAAAAAGCTATGTAATGATATCTAACGCCGAACCAAAGGAGCCTAGACGAGCCCCCGCGGGTGAGGTAGTAAAAGACACACACACACACACATACAAGGAAAAAGGGACCGCCGAGCACCGCCAAAGAGAAGCGGGTTTTGTCGTTCAGGAGTTCAAAGAGAAATATACCTACAGTGTACGATGTAAAGCAATGAATGTTTATGGATCTGAAATGCCTTTTTCTTTCCCTGGAGAGCCTGCCATGTTGTTTTTTTGTACAAAAAGAGTGTTTTGGGCCCCTATGATGATCTCTCCCCTCATTATTGTTTTCTTATCGTGTTGTTAATCTTGTAGTATAGACGGTTCAAAAATGCCATGATAGAAGCCGAAAACACAAAGTCAATACTTGTGTCTTATACCTTGGTAAAAGATGTCAAGTACATGTTGAAAGCCGAGCAGTACATTAAGTAACAGCCGAAGCGATCATAAACAACAAGCGAATACATACCAAAAGTGACCAAGCAGGAGGATTTTAGTTCGACTCTTTCGAGCACCACTTCACTTCAGACGGACATGGAGAACTACTCATCAGAGATTCAAAATTGGGATGCCAGCCGCTAGTCACGGGAGATTTAGAGTCCCTGACAAGTAGGCGTACTATCGACCTGATCTTCTTTTCTTCTTGTTCGGTTTTGGCAGTGCGAGATTATGTGGTGTTATTGGCACAGGTTGAGGTTCAAGCAGGATGATCTATTCACGATTCCCTGTTCGGTTTACTTCACAAGTCCACCATTGGTCATCAAGGTTCGCAAAAGTTGTTCACCGACCGTAAGCGAAAAGCATACGAAAGGTCACAGGTCACAGTTCGAGATATAAGATAGGAGACGAAATGCTGGTTGACCAAAGAATCACGCCGGTCTATTGATCGCTCGATGGGAGAGGAGCAGACAAAGTCTAACCTCTGCTGTTCCTCAGTCCGCCGCCCTGTTCCTCTTTTGCTTGTGCCAACTCCGCAGGCCCCAAAACCCGAATCCCGAAAGAAAACCAAGCAAGCAAAAAACTCCAGGGGGTGTGTGATGAATGAACAAGAAGCATTGCTGCTCCCAGTCCATTTTTTCGTAAAAGAAGTTGTCGTCGTGTCGTCTCGTGTGGTTGGTTGTCATGAGTCAAGTTGAACGCCCCCATTTTCCAGCGTCGTTGTCCCCCCTGAATCCATATCGAGATTTCCATCGTCGTGTCGTCTAAAACCGTATGTATGATATAGATGGACACGTCGCGCGCGATAGACAAAGTTGTTTGTTTTTTGGCTGGACATTTATTGCATTTCCCGTAAGATGACGAAACGATTTGGAACTCGGCTGTGATGATGTTGTGACCCTTTGTGTGTCCTCCCCTCATCATCGTCCTCCACCAAAACCTCCCATCATGTCAAGAAAGGGGGGAATTTAGCGGTGCTACAAAAAGAGAAAAACAGAGTTAGCCATGATCCTCTTGTTTCCTTTCCTTTCTCCATGATGACCCTTGCTGCACGCGACTGGGAACAATGTTTGGGAATCCCCCGGGCCGTAGAGGTTCTCCTTTTTGTTGTCGCAAGATTGTGTGTTCTCTCGTTCCGCGGCGCCGCGGCTTTCCATTCCACTGTTCCAGTCGCGTGCGCAATTCCGCTATTTTCTGCCCGTTGGTGTATTCTCTTACCTTGGTGAAGCCAATGTCGTTGGCCTTCTCACGGAAGCATTGACGGCAGATGTTGAGGCCGTACTTGCGGATGAGACCAGCAGAGTGGGTGCAGACACGGCTAAACAACGTCGCAAAAACGCCCGGTTAGCAGCAATTCTTCAGTTTGTCCGTCAGAAATTCGAATGTGAAGCCGTATTTCCCTGTTCCGTCATTTTCGCCAATTTCCCCATTCTCCCTCCTCTTTCAGATTTCCCAATGTCCATTTTGGCCCCAGCAATAATTTTGCCCCAAAGTGTTCGTGCCATATTCCCACCTCTTGCACAGGTGTGATGTATATGTGTGGATTGTGGATTGTTGAATAATAATCCTTACCAAGAGCGGGCGCCCTTGCCGTAGGTGCGGGGGCGGGAGTTCCAGACGGATTCGTGAGACATCTTGATTTTCGGGTTTTGCTGTCGCAGCGAGAAAATCGTTGGCGGGCGGCGGGTTGACGATGACTTGGTCTGTCGGGCTGGGGGGAGGGGAGGTGGTTTTTTTCGCAAGAGGGTTGCCAAATATGGGGCGAGATTTTTCTGTGGGCGGTTTCGCGGGTCCGGTCCGGCAGCAACTGCCCTCGTCCACTTGCCGCCAGGGCTTGTGCACGTCGGGCTTGGCACTCTCAGTGCACAGTTGCGTGGCAGATGGGTGTGGCTAGTGCGGTGTACTGTTTACACGGGAGGAAGGAGCGACACAGTGGCGCAGCAGTGCTGTGGCTAACCTTTTGAAGTTCTTATCGATAGAAGAAAGTTTCTTATCGTCTTATCGCTGTTGCACACCGCTCTGGACACAGTGCGGCTACAGACGGACCTGAGCTCTCAAGGCCCCACTAATGACAGCAGCATGCGGGGCTACAGCGACTCGGACGACTGATTTCAGGGGATTTTGGGGAAGCACTGAGCGCTGACACGACCAACTGGCAAGGATCACAAAGGTTAGGCCAGTGGCTGTTGACCGGGCGGACAACTTCGAGTTGCCAGCAAAGCGCAAAGTGGCATCTTCCCCAAACTGTTTCCATCTGACTTCCAACCATTCATCTGGAACTTTGCCAATTTAGGATACCTTGCCCATTGTTTGAGGTTCGTTGCCACCAACAGCTGAGTTCCAAAGCAGGACATCTCGTGCCTGCTGGTCTTCTTTTCTCCTTTTCTAACACAACCAACCTCTAGAGCGTTTGCGATCAACAACTTCATCCACACGCCTCTTCACACACCATGGTCCTCCTCAAGAGCTTGGTGGTAGCCAGTTTGGCTGCTGCTGTTGCGGCCAAGTCCGCGGTCCTCGACCTCATCCCCTCCAACTTCGACGATGTCGTCCTCAAGTCCGGCAAGCCGACCCTCGTCGAGTTCTTTGCGCCCTGGTGCGGCCACTGCAAGACCTTGCCCCCGTTTACGAGGAGCTTGCTACCGCTTTCGAGTACGCGAAGGACAAGGTTCAGATCGCCAAGGTTGATGCCGATGCAGAGAGAGAGTTGGGCAAGCGCTTTGGTGTCCAGGGCTTCC